CAGCGCATCTCAAGGGTACCGAGTAGGGGAAGTGTGCCTTACTTATTCTAGGATTAGTGTAAGGAAGTGAGTCCATGTCTTCAGCCTAGCATGTTCTCCTCTTCAACTATAAGTCAAGAATCTTTCTGCTAAAGCTACCTCTCAGTGTCATCACCATGAATCCCTCTCCTGCTTTCTGTTCAACTGGATTATTTTGTGTCAGTGTATTGGGTTAATTTAACCGCCTATTGTATATTACATGACTACCTGTGTTTTTTGAAGACTCCTTTCCTATACCAGGCATTTAGGAGAAATCTCACTGGAGTTCATAGGGCAGGGGTGCAGAACCTCAGTTCCCAGGGCCTAATCCAGCCCTCTGGGTCCCACAAATAGACTCCTCCCCCCACTCTCCCACTGCTGATTCCTGGATGGCTTCCCAACTTCAGTGCAGTTTTTCCCCATTCTAAAAGGCTTAAATGCCTCACTAAAGCTTTGTTACTGGAGGCAGAGCTTTACAGTAAAAGATGTATTTATTGTATTTACATCCTGTCTTTCTTTCTTTTTGAGGAACTCAAGGCAGCTGACATGATATCCCTCCTCCTCCTCCTCCTCACACTCTTATCCTCGCAGCAACAATTCTGTGAGGTGGGTTGGGCTGAAAGTTACCCAGTGAACTCCATGGCTGCATGGGGGCTGGAACCCAGATCGGCTGAGCCCCAGTCCTGCGCTCGTAACCACTCCATCATACTGCTGGCTGGCACCTGGGGCCTCCTCCCCTTGCCTCGACCATGCCCACCACAGGAATGTGGCCCAGAAAACACTGACACTTGGCCGTGGAGTTAAAAGAGGTTCTGTGGGGTTTGCTTATGGGTCGACAGACATGTACAGGACTGAACTGCACGACTACTGAGTAGTTAATCAACTCCATAGGTTTGGGGCAGAGTAATCATAATCTCTCGAAAACTCCTTTTGAGAACTTTGTGTCCTGTGTTGCTAAACCAGAACCCTCTCTGTGCTTTAAAGCTGCCATGCCTAGCTCAGCCCGCACCCCAACAAGCACCTGAGTATTTTGTGGCCCTGTAATGATGCAGGTTTTTCCTCCAAATGAGTCAGACCACAGCTCCCATCATCCCCAACCAGCAGGGCCATTGGGTTGGAATAATAGGAGTCGCAGTCCAACAAACCTGGAGTGTGTGGGATTGGGGAAGGCCAGAATGTAACCAAGGTGACTGCCGCCTGCAGGTGAGCTGTCTGTGGTTAAAGTGTGGCTCTGAGACAGCTCTGTAGCATTTTCATCAGTGAGAAAAGGCACGTGGTTCTTCTTTGGCCTCCTCTTGTAAATGGGAAGAGTACATTTCACAGAGCAGAAAGGGAAGCTCTTCTCTACGGGAAAGCAGGGAATCACTTATAGGATGTGTGGCTGCAGGAAGTGGCAAAGACCACCAGCTCAGAGGTGATCGCCATGTAACCCAGAATGAGGCGGTAGCATTCTGGAGGGTACCTCTTTACACTGCATTGAGCTGGTGAGGGCTGCATCTCTAAATAAAAAGCTCAGCCGTTTTGCCTTTGGCCTGCCCCCACCCCAAGAGTGTCTCCAAAACAGATTTTGGCCCTTAGCTGAAAGAGGTGCTTGCACCTTAGTTTAGATGCTGGTAGCCAATCTGCTTTGAGAGGGTGGATGAATGAGAATGGGGTGCAGAGGGGGGAGGACCCCTAATGTATGGGAGTCAACTGGGGAGACTGGACGCTGGGGTGTGTAGAGAGAGAGTTATGAATATGCACTGCGCAGTATTCACTTGGTATTTGGCTCAAGTGTTTTAATTTCGAGTGCTGGTGAACTGGACTGGATAGCTGTGGAACTTTTGGCACAAATTGGCATTTTTACCAGGATGCGCAGCAACAAAAAAGCAAGTCACAGTGGTGGCGTGCGATTACTGGGAGGGCCACAATCACAGCCACTAGCTGGCAGCCATTAGTTTTTGGTGGAGAATCGGGAGGCATGCATGATGGGTCAGTGCATTCACCCATAAAAGAGCTTGATTAGTTTGATTTTTTAATAATATGCATACTATTAGGAAAAAAATATTTGTTCTTCTCAATTATTTAATGCTCTGTCTGTGTGTGTTTTAAATATGCTTGATCTGTCTCGACAGACCAAGGCATAGTCTACTGGGACCTTCTCGAGAATAGCCATTGGCATGAAGAATATGGGAAAGAAACCCTGGAAACATCAACCTGCGTATGTCTTCATCAGACCTTCACAACCTGCATGCAAGTCAATACATTGAGAAGAGATGCCTTTAAAAGCCCTCCTCAAGCTGGCGCCTCCCCATGGGGTGGATGGGGAAAGATGGCTCCCATACTGCAGTCCAATACATCTGGAGGGCTGGAAATGTAGAAGAGGGGCAGAAGGCTTAGAACTTATTTTCCAGAACTGATGGACTTCCTTGTTGTTGATTTGCTGCATGCCCTTAATACTCTGTGAGCTTCATTATTGTTCCTTTTTGCATTATAAGAAAGAATGCTTTATGACCTCCCAGTATTAGGGCTATGAAGTTGTATTAATAAGTATGTTTGCTTGGAGGGTTTTTGCACCAATGAAGCAAGCTGAATGCAAACATTCATTGTTGTTGTTATGACAGAACTCATTAATTGCAATCCCGCTGGTAGATATTAGAAATAAAATTAATCAGCACTCCATGTTTATTCACTGCAATGCCTTAGGAAGGGAGCAAGAAGAAGGCAGGGGAAGCTGCGGAAGATACAGAACTGGGGAGCAAGCTGAAGAGGCAGCCATGCAGTCACGCCCTTTTGGAAAAGGACTTTCAGTCTCAGCATTAGGAAGGGGAACAGGATAACACCAAAGATATCACAAAAAGGGAGACAGGGGCAGGGGAAAGAAAGAGAGAAAAGAACGGAAACGATCCAAACACACGTGAGTCATACGGCCTGAAAGGCACAAAAGGAAGATCTGAAAAGCTAGGTTCAAAAATGCAGAGATGGGACCGAAACAGGGTGAGAGCGAGAATATAGGAGGAAAAAGAATAAAACTCAGTTTGTATAAAAATGAAAGAGAAAAAGGCGGAAAAAGGGGGAGCAGAAAGTTTACGTGGGATCTGGGTTCGCTTTGTTTGTTTTTCAAAAAGGATCTCACACCTGATATTCCTCGTTCCATCCATTTCGGTTCACCAAGGGCAATGAAGAAATTCTCCTGCCTTTCGTATTCCTCCTCATCTACTATTTTAACCCTTATGGTCTTCCTGTAGGGACAACAAAAAAGATACGTGTGTACAGCGGGTTGCCTAGTCGGGAGAAGATGCAAGAGCAGCAGCACCATCACCACCACCGCCACCGCCACCACCACGACACCTTCCTTCCTCGCACGCGGCCCATTCCTGCCACTGCCTTGGGGATGTTTCAGCTGCTTGCTATGGCCCATCAGTTGTAGCTGCCCTTTGGGTGAGTCAGAGAATATTAGAGGAGGGAGGGATGGAGGGAGGGAGGGAGGGGCAAAGGCTGAGGAAGGGGACCTTGCTCCTTGCTGATGGTTAGTGGAAGGTGACTTCTGCAGCACATTTAGTTGAGTGTCACATGGTAACAGCAGGTATTCAAATGATGTAACAATGGCCAATCAAAAATATTTGTGGGCACAAAAGAGCCCTAGATAAGTAGTTTGATAAGTTTTATATTCAAAGTGTTTGAGAGTTAATGATCCAATCTCTCTCTCTCTCTCTCTCATCCCCCCGCCCCCAGCATCACTTTTGTGTTTGAGTGGGAGTCTGAAGACGAAAGCACGCATCCACACACAGAGACCAGCATCTTTCCACCTAAGAAAGGCCTCCAGCTTGGATGTGTGAAGGCAAGCTGATCTTTCCCCTCTTCTGAAAAAATATGCATCCGTAATTGTCTTACATATTGCTTTTTCTGGAATAGATTATTCAGAGTTCATGAAATTCAGCGTGCTTCCGGATTAGGCTTTTAGGGTACAAACCTAGGCAAGTTTAGACAGAAAAAAGGCCTACAGCAAACAGAATGGTGGGCTGGGGAACGCTGAAATGAACACACTAGCTTGGGTTTCCAAGCCTCTCAATTGGTACGTGTCTACAAGAGATTGTCCACTGCACACAGTCACTTCCCAACCATTGAGAGTGATGGGAAGGACAATGGCGGGGTGGTGATGGAACCCATATGTTCACCCTCTCCTTCTTCTGTGCAGAGACCGCAAGCTTTGGAATATCTGAACTGTGTTGGTCTCTCCACCTAGTCTACCCTCTACATGACTGCATTTTATTAAAAGTTGTAGCATCCCATTTTTTCCAGGTGCATGAAAGCATGGGCCTGATATTGAAACGCCAGCCAAGGGTAGGGTTTGTGGCTGCATGGACCACAGCCATGGCATTGGCCACTGGTAAGGCCAGGAGGACCAAATTGGTGCAAATATGTTGCTGCTATGCATATTAATGAAAGAAGAGACATAGACTGAATCTCCAGTGGTTCATGATGTTACTATTGGCAACAAAGTTATCCATTATAGCTGAGGTCTAGTAAGTAGGAAAATACTAGAAAGCTCATGAGCAAAACTTCTCCTTTTGGGGAGATGGGGTGAATAGGCTAAACGTTTTCTTTTTCAAAGAAGGCAACTATTATTCATATGTCCCTGACTGCTGTGCTAACTTGCTATGCACGAGCTTAAGTGAAAGGTCTCTGTGACTCATACAGGTTTGTTTCATACTGATATGCAGAAGCTCTTGGCCAGCTTCTGTGGTCTCAATGGTGGATTTGAAATTCCTGGCATCTAAGTTATATCCATCAGCCACACACTCCACGTGCACACAGCCTTCCCAGATATATAATGCATAAGCACATTAGCTCGCATCAGTACCATGTGACAAGTTGTGCATACACAGAGGTGTCAAGGATAGAGCGGTTGGAAAACAGAAACGAGACTATAGATAGTGAGAAGAGAAAGGCAGAGAAGAGAGAAAGAGGAAAGAAGAGTGTTAATGTTAGTTGGGAGAGGCAGTACTACACCTTTCTGTAAACTCATATCCACCATGCGGGGACCCATCAGCTCAATGAAGAAAGTCTTGTTTTTCTCATACTCCTCATCATCAATTACCTTGATGTGAATAATTTTGCTGTGAATGGAAAAATAATAAGTGTCATAATGAGGAGAAGGGGGATGAGCCAGCTGGGGCATGAGGGGGAGAAAGAAGCCAAAGAGAGAGTTTAGATGGTCAAAGCTTACTCACCCACTACAAAGACAAAACACAGTAAGGAGCTTAACCTTTGCTAGGCAGCTAGCCAGCCTGATAGAACAAAGGAAATCTGTTGCAGAAATATATTCGTGTAAAATCAATTCAGACTTAAAGTCATTGATTCACTTGTAAAATCCCATTCACCCTTCACATGTGATTCAAGTTATTTATTCAGATTAGAAGACATACATCTCTGTGCATACAAGCTGTAACATGCAATTTGAAGGCATACATTTAAGATGCAGCTTTAACTGCCTGCTGAAAAATAAAGAGTGTAACACAAATCTAAGAAGGTAATAAGGAAAAGGTAATTTTTGCTACACACACACACTCACACACAATTTCCAGATATATGACTGACTGCCTTTTTCAAACTGTTAAGTTTAGAAACTTACACCTCAATTCATTCTGTTAGCATTCTGACATTTTATTTTGCACCATGACTACATCAGAACAGTGTTAATTTTAATCCTTAAATGCTTTTTCACAGGTCTCCAAAAACTGGAAAACAATTCCAAGAGCAGGATATGCGACACAAGTCTATATCCCTAAAGATGTCAGTACGAAAAAAGGTTCAACTTTGCTTATGCTAACAAGCTACAGCAAATATGGACAGAAGCCTGCTCTTTGGGATCTGGAGTCTCTTCTTACAAGGCAGCGTTTATCAAACTTCAACACTGGAACTCAGCTTTAAAATGGTGTTCTAACTTGGGAAGTGATAGCTGTGGGTGTGATCCAAATGCAAAAGAGACCCCACTCACCAAACTATTGCTGAGATGGTAACAGACTGTTCCGTACTTCAAAGTGAGCAGTCCATGACCCTTCTCTTGGACCACGTGTGCAGTGTTTGGGTGGGTGTGTGGCACACATGTGATTACGAGGCATTTTATAAATTCCCCCAAGATTACAGTCCAGATGGAAGTTCTTAGGAAATGAAGCTCCTACACTGCTCATCTGTGTATCCGTGTAGGGCTCTGAGGAATCCGTGACAGGGCCCTGGTCCTGTTTGGAGAACTCAGCCTCAGCCCGCTGCAACCTGGAGCCCTCCATCTGGTTTGGGAGGCAACTCCCAGCCTTCATGCACAAGGGCAGAGGGGTGATGAAGCCCAAAATGTCTGGCAGGCACCAGGCTGGGGAAGGCTGAATGTAGCCCTCAGATGCTGCCTGGTGAATTCCGGGCCCAGTGCAAAGTGCTGGCGTTCACATTTAAAGCCCTAAATGGCTTGGGGCCAGGCCAACTGAAGGAATGTCTTTCTCCACATGTTCCTACTGGCCCTTAAGATCTTCCATGGAAGTCTTTCTCTGGGAACAACCCCCCTAGGAAGTTGGTGGGTGGCAGTTTGGAGAAGGGCCTTCTCTGTGGTGGCACCCCGCCACCAGTCTATCTTTCAAATCATCTGCCTGATGCCATTGTTGTTTTCATTTCTGTGCCAGGTAAAACCCTTTTATTTACCAGATGATTCAAAAGATAGACAGGTTTTTCATATTCTTTTTATCTAATATTCATTTTATCTGAACGTTTTATTCTACTGTGTATTATTTTTTTATCCAACCACCATGAGTTGGCAAGTTTTGTGTTTTTTTGGTTTTGATTGGCTTTTTAAAGTTTTGCAATTGCTTGTTTTATTGTTGGCCTGCTTTATTTATAAAGTGCCATGACAGCCTTCTGAGGACACTTAGAAGGTGGCAGCCTGATGTCTGATAAGTGCCAGACCAGAATGGATAGCATCTGGGAGGCCCTCCGATCTGCCTCTCCAGTTAGGCACACAGGAGTCTTTGCCTACACGGAATCTGACCATGGGGCCCCTTAGCTCAGTGCCTTCCATCCCGACTGATGGTGCTCTCCGGGGGGCTACACCAAGGTCTTCCCCCGCCCTGAACCTGGGACTTTCTTCATACCAAGTATTTCTTCTACCACTCAGTGATAACTACACTTTATTTTAGTGTGGGGTAGTCCAACACGTGGCCTGTGGCCCAACGGCTCGTGTGGCCCTCTTGCCACTTGAAGTCCCTCCCCCAGTCTTGATCTCAGCAATGGCATGGACATGACTGCAGTGAGCTCTCCTGGGGCCCCCATCCCATCCCACTCTGAGGCTCAAGAGGAGTGGATTGCACGGCTGGCCTCGTGAGAACTTGCTCGAAAATGACATGGCGGCTCCAGCTGACCAGTGGCACCGGGCCCTCAGTTCCACAAATGCTCCCCAGCATGTTCCGCCTGCTCCTTTGGGCCAGTCAGCAGGAGCAGGCAGGGCATGCCAGGAATTGCTTCTTGGCTCACGTGCAAGAGGCTCTGGATACCAATTCCAAGAAGGGAGGGGCCAGGGGTTTCACATGGGAGGGTTTCTGGCTGGGAGAAACAGGGAAGAAAAGATGGGCCACCCCAGAGGAGCAGCCATTGTGCTTGAGCTGCCCACAAAGAATTCTTCTTCATTCAGTTAATGGAATTGTTTAATTAATGGTTAATGAAATTTATTAATTCTGTATATTAAATTAAATAAATATATTGCAAACGCTTTAATTTATGATATGGAAATGTAATTCATTGGGTGTTCCACAGGTTCCATGTCGAAGTTCTCATGTGGTCCTCAAAATACAAAAAGTTGGACCTCCTTGTTCTAGTGCTGCTTTATCAACTTGGCTAGTTCTGCAAATAACCACAGTGCTGAAACAGTCTCAGAACTGCTTGTCACAACTTGGATGCACACAATTTTTTTAAAGAAACCCATTCCCTAATTTAGGGAGCAATCCTACAAGGCTTCCCCTAACCCTCCAGTCTTGGAGGATTATGGAGATACTATGCAGAGGAGAAGCATGGAGATGAAGGCCACTTTGGAAGGAGGGGGAAAGAGGCTGAGGTTCTCCCTCCTATTAAATCCCTTGACTGAGGGTTCCTTTTGCAGCCCCAAAGCAGCAAGCAGGTTGTGTGATTCCTTCCTCACCGGCTGCAGAGGCTGGAGAGAGATCCAGGTATGGATCCCCAGTTGTGGAGTTGGAGTGAGTTTCCAACAATAGTACTAGGAATCTGAACAAACCCGTTGCCATCTAGATACTGCTTAGGGCCATAGGTTTGCTCTGTTAAGAGCATAAGAAGGGCCATATTGGATCAAGCCCAAGTCCAGCATTCTGTTCACATGGTGGATCAGCTGCCCACAAGGATCTCACAAGCAGGACAAGAATGCAACAGCATGATCCTCAGCAACTCAGGCATACTGCCTCTGATACTGGAGGTAGCATAAAGCCATGAAGGCCAGTGACCATGGATAGTCTTCTCCTCCATGCATCTATCCCCATAAAGCCATCCAAACTGGGGGCTGACACTCTATCATGCAGAAGTGAATTCCATTGTTTCACATACCTGTCAGGCAAGTGACATTAGCAAGACAGCTAGGGCTGCGAGGCAGAGCAGAAAATACTGGGGCTGAGGCAGAGCAAGGAGGCAGAGCAAGGAGCCTACTCAGGCAGAAAATGCTGGGGCTGAGGGGCAAGTTGCGGTGAGGTGTTGGAGGAAGGAGCTGTGTGTGCCACACGGTTTGCTCTGCGCTCCCTAAGGTAGCTTGCTGCCCTCAAGGGCAGTTGAGAATGCTGTCCTTTCCCCAGTGTCGAAGACAGTCTGGGTGGCTTCTGCTGAGGACTGTCTGTGTCTGTCTGTTGGGAGCATCTCATCTCCTGCTTCAGACAACAGAATGTCCTAGGCCAGTCCAGAAGCAATGGGAAATGGAGACTTATGCTGAGGAGGGAGAATGGTTTTGGCTGCAAAACACAAGAAAATATAGTCAGCTAATAGAATTAAAAAAAGGAGGGACCTGTGGTCTGATTTAGGCAACTTCAAACAACTGTTGGGTTCAGGAAAGTTAGCAAGGTATCTATGGAATCATTTTTAGGAGACCAAATGCTCCGACTTCTAGAGCATCTTCACTCAATGGAGAGGCTCATCCTTTTAGCTCTATTTTTTCAGGTCTTCGATTTGGACAACAAGGTAAGAAAATGCACAATTTCCTCCTTGCTACACAGATGACAGTGAAAGGGCCCTATCCCCTCTCTTAGTTCTAAAGCAGAAGCATTGGGAAAGCTTTAGCATCCTGAAGAATACCGATACCTTTCGTCAACAGTCTTTGTAAAGAAGTGACCCTTGAAAAGAGTTTGGAAGTTTTGTGGCACCAGAAAAGTGTTCCAGTCCCAACACCTTAAATTAGCTATTACTTAACCTACAATTTTCTCAATTTATATATGTTAATCTGAAATTCAAAGTCTCCAAGTGTTCCAGAAGGTGTACTATTTTTAATTGTGGCATGCTGCCAACAAGTGAGCAGATGAATGGTGCTGTCTTAGAATATATCTCAGGGATGAAATTTATCCCTTCATAACCTCAGTTCCTTTCAGAATAAATATTTGTGAGACACGCATTACATTTGAATAGGGTAATAAAAATAAGCAGTCTTGAACACTACTGAGTCCCCAGTTTCTACACAAGGACGCTTTTACCTAATGGTATGTGCTAACATTTTAGCATTGGTGATATTTTCAACATACAATGTGACACTTTACGGGTAAATCAAAGGCAGGTCAAGATCCTAAGAACATAAAAAGACCCTTGCGGGATCAAACTGAAGGCCTACAAGGGCCACCACTGTGTCTGGCTCCGGCTGACCAGAAGGCAGGATTGCTTGATCTATGGGTTGACTGAGGATGCTTCTTCACTGCCAAGCAAATGTTTTCTGGGCAGCACAAAATCATTTTAAAACCATACAATGCAACATCAGACAAATGATTTTTCTTTTAAAATTTTTCAAAAATAAAAATAAAACATAAAATAGAAGTGAAAACTGAAGTAAAACCTAACAGTTCAATGTTATATGCTACATACAATGTCCCCATTCCAG